TTATTTCTTCGTATTTCATTGATATACATATATGTAGATTTTTAAAATTCTTATTTATTATACTAATTTATTCTTTGTCCTAATTATTTTGTAGATTAAAGTAAAAGTTATTTCAGAGTGTATAACTCTCTCAATTAAATGTGCTAAAAATGTTTCAATTTATTTTAAAATAAATCTATGTTACAAAATAAAAATATAACTTTCAAAATTAAAATAAGAAACTTGTTAACAATTTTAAAGTTTTAAGGTATTATAAAAACAGCAAAATATTTTAATTACTATATTTCGAATAATCATTTTTCAAATATATCGACATATAAAGTTTTAAATCAAATCATTAATAGAAAAAAAAAAAAATTATAATCAGATTTTAGTAGTTTAGTTAAGATTAATTTGGTTAAAGTAGTTATTTTAACAAATTTATTATTAATTCATTTTTGTTTTATAGGAAGTATTATCACGCAGTGCCCTGGAAACACAAAAATTAGAACTTCTTACTTCGTTATCGGAGATAAAACTTAGGCAAGCAAGCTTGGAACGTGAAAATTTAACATTACGTAACACTAATACTTTAACAAATGTAAGTTGACTACAGTTACTTTTATTAATATTTTAATTATCATGATGCATATAATTATCATAAAGGTAAAAAAAGTTTATAGTAACATAAATAAGTTGTTCAAAATACCATGACCAATTTTAATTGCTAAATGGTTATCTAAAACTATTTCAAACCTTCTTATCTAATAATATTTAATAATATAATAAATACTTTTGTTATTTTATATTTATTTTAGAAATGCATTATTTCTAAAAATTATACATTGAAGGAAGTTCGAATGTATTTATAAAATAAATAATGTATAAATGCATTCATTGACATAATGGTTTCTCCATTAAAAGCGTTTAAAATATAAAGTAATTTTATCAAGTTAAATGATAAATATATAATTGCAGGGTGAAAGATTTAGCAGACACGCTGGTCATTATAGTAGCTTACCTCGACCGCCAACAGCAACTAAAAAGGGAGTAGTTTTTGGTAAGCAGTTATATATATTTATGGAAATAATAACTTTTATCTTCAGAGCCTATACAGTTCATTATTAGGTTAAAATATGTTTATAAAAATGTTTTAGTTAAATATAATCGCACCATTTCCTTTATTCTAATACTATACTACTATCATTTTCTAAATATCAACAATTCGAATATTTAGAATATTTTATAATATTCACAATTCAAATTATAGTTATTACATAAAATCCATAAAAAATGCAATGATGTTAAAAGATATCATAAAAAATGGTATTAAAATGAATTTTAATTATTTATTTTAGCTGATGAAGAGAAAACACTAATTACGGATACAACGAACTACATAAAATCTTCTCTATCAAAGCCGTTTGTTAATTTATCAATTTTGGAAGTAGGTGAATGGCTATTGCAATTAGGATTGGAATCATATACAAACGAATTAAAACGTTGGGGAGCAACTGGACATAAATTGTTAAATACTTCGTATAATCAACTTGAAAAAGAAATTGATATAAAAAATGTTTTACATAAAAAAAAATTTCTTTATGCAATTGAGTCTGAAAAGTATAATGGTGCTGGATTTCTTGGGTCAGATAAGGTCAGTTAAATAATTGACAAGTTAAGTAACATAATGAGTAAAAGTATTTAATTTAACGAAGAAATTTTTGACGTGAAAAGTAGTTTAAATCCATTTTAAAATATATATACTTCATCATATTAACTTTGCATAGAAATTTTTCAACTCAGCGTACATAATACAGTATAAAATTTAAAAAAATATATAATGCATTTAGATGGATAATGTATCAGTGTTACGTTGGCTGGATGATATTGGCTTACCACAGCATAAAGAAGCTTTTCACAATGCTAAAGTTGACGGTAGAGTTCTACATAGATTAACGACGGACGACTTGGTATTACTGAATGTTACAGCTCAGTTACATGCAGCAAGCTTACGACGTGGTATTCAAGTAATCATTTACATATTACATACATTTATTTATTTTAAATTAAAATTAATTATTTGTTTTTGTAATATAAATATAAGAGTGTGTGTGTGTGTGTGTGTTATAAGAACTAAATTTAAAATGGAGTATTAAAAATAGAGATACTTTAAGATAAAAAGATGTTTGTTAACTTCGAAACATAATTTTATTTATACTATTCTACTTTTACTTCATTTTTTCATTCCCTATTATTAATTTAATTATGATAAAAAAATTATCGATTGATTCCACATCTATGTCGAACAACCTCGGCTATTTATATAAACAATATATTAATAACAACAAGAGTTTATATTTTTGAATTAATATTTTTACTGCAGACATATAAATACTTTTTCGAACATATATTTCAATTAATCTAATATACATTTAAATTTCTTTTATTAACAATAAAGTAACAATATATTTTAGGTATTGCGAGAGATAAATTTCGAGTTTGATCACTTAGAACGACGCTC